TTGATAATTGTAAAGGGCTTAGAATGGTTGTGTTAGTTTGGGTCCTCGAGGAGCAGTTCGATGCAATCGACCTGGGGAAGTACTTGGGACAGAAAGCCGGAAGGGCCTGGAAGAAGGTGGTAGAGCCAGCCGCCTGCAGGTCTGAGTCCTGTGGATGGGGTCCGCAAAGCCAGTCTCCAGTGTCCTAGAAACGGGCCTATCTTCTTTTCCTGCCACACCCACTCATGGGGAGCAGCCCATGGAAGTGGGACCTGAGCACGCCCTGGCCATGGATTTCAAGGGCACTGCGAGCAACCGTTGGTCAGGTGGAGACCTGAGAGGGGCCTACTCACCCCTGGCCCACAGTAAAAATGCAGGCTGGTGTTAGCAGCAGAGCTGATGAAATGGGGTGTGATTTTAGTCTTTCTAGAAGAAGAGTCCTTTACCCTATTCACATTAATTAATTAATCTTTGAAATAGCTTTTAAACTACCTAAATACTTTTCCTCCCCAGTTTTACTGAGATGTAAGTGATATATGTGATTGTATGAGTTTAAGGGGTACAACATAATGATTTGGTATGTGAGCATATTGTAAAATGATCACCACAGTAAGGTAGTTCCCATCCAGCACCTCCCATAGTTACAGATCGCTCTGTGGATTCTGAGTTGCGGTGTGTCCTTTGGAAAAGGTGAATTCAGGAGCCTCCTAGGTCACTATCTTGGATCCTTCTCTCCCTAAATGCACTTACAGATTTATTTTGGATATTAAGTATTTCAGTATTTCTTTGAATGTCCTTAAAAAATAATTAATCTTGTTGCTGTTACATTGGAGTGTCATAAATTACTGAGTAGTAGGCTTTTAACCTGAGTGCCTAGACACTGACTTAATTGTGAGATCAAGCCACGTCATTTGGTGTTGAAGAAAATACTTCTCTCACCAGCTCATGCAAAACATGCTCCTTAAAGAACATCCTCTGATGTGTCTACAACTGTTGCTTTTATAAGGACTTTTCTGTGCAGCTTTTTTTACTGTTACCAGTAATTCTTAAATTAGCTAAGGTTTTCCAGTTTTACTTCTTTCTTCCTTCCTGTACCCTGCCTGCCCTCCCCCTCCCCTACTCCCAAATTACTGGGGGCAGTTTCTTTGAAGGCACATCAGGTCATGTGTATATATTTTCAACAAAACAGCTTTGAAAAAAGAACATTAAGTCATTTTAGTCTAAATTTCTTTCCATCTAAAAGAAAGCTTGTAGAAAGGGTTGACCTGTAACAAGTCAAAACAAATGTACATGAACTCCACATAGGATCTTTGTTATTGTGTTTATTAGCAATGGGATGTGACCGGTTGTTGATGTTCTGTTAAATAGGGTGGCATTGTTTTGCAGATAGCATCCTTTCTAAAAGTCTTGTCTGTAGCAATCAAGTTTGACCTTCAGACATTCTCTAGAAGTAGAGAGGCAGCCCTTGATCAGCCTAGAACCAGTTGGACTTAGATACCTGTTATTATAAGTGACCTGGAGTTGGCTGAGTAAAATGGGGAAATGGCACCTTGTTCTGGGGATTAAATGTGATAACCAGTGCCAAGTACCCAGGACATGATGTATCTCCAGATAGCGTAGGTGTGTTCCTTCTTTCTTGCTCTCTCCCTCTCTGGTAATCTTTGGCCTCCCCAGCCCTACCCCACCCATGAAAGAATGACTGAGATAGGGTTTCAGTTTGGCAAAGTTTTACCTTTAAGACCTTTCAGAACAGTTATTTGAACATTTGGGTGTGTATGTCTTCTATGTAAGGTAGTAGTGTGGACTTCTGCATCTGGGTGTCCTATAGCTTCTTTTCTGGATACGAATTCTGCTACTCCCTCCTCCTAGAGTTCCTGCCGTTGTCTGACCATCCAGTTCCTTATCCTCCCAGCCCAGACACAAGGCTCAAACGCTGGCTCTGCCTGGGGATGCCTCCCCAGGTCTGGGGGTTGGAGTGCTCCTCCTCTGGCTTCTCCTGGGGTCTGAGCCTTAGCGCTTAAATTGTACTCTGGTTCTGTGTCTGTGACTCACTCTTGGGGTTTTTTTGGAGCAGGACCACATTTTGTGCATCTTTGTATCTCCTGCACAGTTGTCCTGGCCATTAGTGGATAAATTATTAGTGGATAATTTATGAATTATTCTTAAGCTATTTATTTAGACAGGTCACCTAAACATTAAGACGGAGTTTCCTTATCTGCTCTGGATATTCCCTCCACATTGTCCTTTTTCACCATGCTATCATTTATTAACGACCTGTTGCCCTTCACATTCGCTCATCCCTTCATCTAGTGACCAGACCTGACAGTCCTCTGGCCTGAGCATCCTTTGAATTGGTTCTCTCCTCTCTGTCCCTGCAACTGCAGGCTCCTTTCTCAGGGAGGCTGATATAGCAGCCTCCTGTCCTTGTTCTGTTCCTGCCTTTGCAGAAGCAGAGGGTGGACCACATCACTTTTTTATTTTAAAAATTTCCAGTGGTTTTTCAGTTCTTACGGGCTCAGCTGTAAACTCCTCAGCATGACACACAGAGCCCTCACTTTCCAAATCCACCTCCCGTTCTGGCCACCCCCACCTTCCAGGAGTCCACATTGTGCTCCTTCACATTTTCATTTCTCAGTGGTTCCTTCACATTGTTTGTTTTTGTCATTTGTTTGTTTAAAATGCCCTTTCCCGGGGTGCCTGGGTGGCTCAGTCAGTTAAGCGTCTGCCTTCGGCTCAGGTCATGATCCCAGAGTCCTGGGATCGAGCCCCGCGTCGGGCTCCCTGCTTGGTGGAGAGTCTGCTTCTCCCTCTCCCTCTGCCTGCCTCTCTGCCTACTTGTGTTCTCTCTCTGTCTCTCTGTCAAATAAATAAAATCTTTAAAAAAATAAAAAATAAAATGCCCTTTCCCTAATTTTCCAACACTATTGCTCCTATACCTCGAGGATTATCAGGACATATGGGGTGTTTTTTCTTTTTTGTTTTTTATATCAACCTTTGGGTTTACCCCCAAAGATTTTGATTCAGTGTCTGGAGTAAGACCTGATCTCATTTTCTTTATCTGTAAGATGACAGTGTTGAAATGGGTATTTACAAAGATACAATATTTTGTATGTCAGTGGCCCAAGAATGCTTCTATGATAATTATCACACTTTGTTTTATATTATACACTAATGAAAAGAAAAAGGGAGGAGGGAGACAAGGAGGGAGACAAGGAGAAACTCCTCAGATGGTTGTGGATATCAGCTATGATTGGGAATCCTGTCACCTGCCTTGAGACATTCATCCTCTATGTGCTTTCCTATGGTGCGGTGTTCTTAAAAACACTTTCTCATAGAACCTTTAAAAAGACGTTTAATAGTTGAGTTGAAGTTCTTTGTGTACCTATTTTCTTTTCTCATTAGATTCTAAAGTTATCCAGGGCTAGGTCTGGGACTTGTGCATTTTCTGGTTTCCTAACGCTTTGCCCATCATAGAGGCCCTATACATTTTTGAAGAACTCAAGGGTGTTTGAAATGAAGTTTTTAAACTGGATGAAGCTTTGCAGATGTAAGTAGTATTTGTATCGAAAATATTTATTTTTCTGATGTATTTACTTTCAGTTTAAGAAAATATTGTTAGGACCCTTTAGGAGGGAAAAGTGCTTAAAACCTGTTGGAATGACAATTTGCTTGTATTGAGTCTGACTGTTTCAAAGAACAATGGTCCCTTAGACAAAGTACAACAATGTTCAACTGTTTTTCTCCTTGTAATGCGAGAAAAAGCACATAACTGTGTGTGTCTTTAGGCAGAAGTGTCTCTATGGATCTATGGCAGCATCTACATGTAGATAGTGTGATTTGTTCATAATTGAGGTGCCTGAAACTGATTTTGTTGTTTTGTGTTTTTTGCAAGCTCCTCATGTCAAATGGATTTTTTTCTTCTATTTAGATTTTAAGACCTATTTTCCTTAATAGTCTATGAGAAAAGATTTCATAAGAAAGAAATGGAGATTTTTCTTGTGTCTTTAAGTACCAAAGAGAGGGCGCCTGGGTGGCTCAGTTGGTTAAGCGACTGCCTTCGGCTCAGGTCATGATCCTGGAGTCCCGGGATCGAGTCCCGCATCGGGCTCCCTGCTCGGCGGGGGGTCTGCTTCTCCCTCTGACCCTCCCCCCTCTCATGCTCTCTATCTCATTCTCTCTCTCAAATAAATAAAAATAAGTACCAAAGAGATTCTTCTTCTTAGCCTTGTATGCCTCGTTTTGCCAGGGCGGAAGTAGTAGGGGAGAGAAGAGCAGCCACACTGATGTCAGCCCGCGCCTCATTCCCACAGTTAAGAGCAGGGTCTCTGCGGGTCATGAAGAAGATTAAAAACGGACATGGTGGACTTGAGAGTAAATGTGATTCCTCATTGCTTTCTGAAGGCTCCTTCCGCCCTTGTCATTCATCCACTCGCCGCCTGCACCAGTCCTTGAGATCCCCCAGAGCTGAGGCGGCCGGTCCCCGCCGTGCCTAAGTGGTGGTTCTAGACCCGCTGTTGCTGTTTGACGCCCTCCGCCGGGAGTGGCCGCGAGCTCCACGTGGAGGAGGATGCATTCCACCAGACCCTCGGGGATGCTGGCAGATCTTGGCCCAGGGGACTTTTGGAGAAACTCAGAGCCGTTCTTTTCTAATAGTCAGAGGGATGCCTGCGTCATTAAGACACATTTTTGTCGTTCCCTAAACCACAGGGTCCCCGTGCCGTTCCTGTGTCTGCATCCCCGTGTCCTTCAGGTTCTGCCAGGTGCCCCTCCAGGCCTTTCCACGCTGGGTGCCACTTGGCCCTGTGGTACAGGGAGGGTGCACCCGCCCGTCTCTTCGAACTCGGAGCTGTCACCCCTGCCAAGGCCCCGATTTTTGCTTTTGTTTTTGTTTCTCTTGTAAACTTGGAAGGTCTTAATTTTATATACCTTTGGTGTGTTTGTCCGGAGAACTTAAATGTGTGACATCAAATGAAAGAGTCAAGTCTGTGTTGCTAATACGAAATTTTAATTTTTCTTTACAGGTCAACTTTGTAGTGTGCCAACTCTTTGCCTTGCTAGCAGCCGTTTGGTTTCGAACTTATCTACGTTCAAGCAAAACTAGCTCTTTTATAAGACATGTCGTTGCCACCCTTTTGGGCCTTTATCTTGCACTTTTTTGCTTTGGATGGTAAGTAATTATTTTAATTATATTTAAATGAAGACTTTGGACATCTTTGTGACTGAATGTGTACAAAGATACATTATGTGGGTTTTGTTCTTATCTGTTACGTATAAAGTTTTATGTTTTTGTTTTTAATAGAAAAAATCAAGTGTGGAGGATGGGCTCTGTCTCTTCAGTTTGGGCTCAGAGGGCAATTTACTATTTATAATATATGAAATAAGACAGATGAAGAAGAAAGACATACAAACATTTCCTTTAGGCCTGAGTAGTTCTCTTCACCTATTTTGCACATCTTTTATGCCAAGACAAATAAACCACTTAAAGTAGTATTTTCTTACTGTGCGTTTGGGTGCAGCCCAGTGATAGAACTCTATTACCATTTTTTAGATGCTGCCATTAGTAAAAAGAGGTTTTTTTGTTTTTGGTGGGGAAGAATTCTTTATGATAGAAAGCCTTCATTTATGACCCTTCAGGTGTGTGGGTTCCCTTCAGTTAGCTCCCTTCTTAATTACAGGGCTTCCCGGCGAGCTCTAAATACAGAAATACCCTCCTTCCTGTTTGTTACAGGTGACTGGTTGGGTGACAGAAGCAAATCAGGAGAAGAGCACACAGTCTTGGCGAAGCAGCAGAGACTCAGTGGAAGGGCTTCTTTGTGATTTCTTCTGAATTTTCCTTTTTATTTATTTTTTATTTTTAAAGATTTTATTTATTTGAGAGAGAGAATGAGAGAGAGGGAGCACATGAGAGGGGGGAGGGTCAGAGGGAGAAGCAGACTCCCTGCTGAGCAGGGAGCCCGATGCGGGACTTGATCCCGGGACTCCAGGATCATGACCTGAGCCGAAGGCAGTCGCTTAACCAACTGAGCCACCCAGGCGCCCTGAATTTTCCTTTTTAAGTGAGAGCTCATGCTGTTTGCTCATTTGCTGTACTATTAACCCGCTCACAGATAAGGCTTTGTAGGTTTGCTCTTCTGTAGACTCTTGTTTGAGATGAAAATTCCCTGAGAGGGGAGGATGCACTTGCTGGATCTGTGCTTTAGTAGTTCCTCTTGTGGGGTGTAGGATCTGCAGGACTTTGATATCGCCTCTGTGTTTGTGCGAGCATGTTTTTGATTCTTGTGAGGGTTGGGATATACTGGCGTTTCTTAATCTAATTTTTGGCTCTGGCAATTGCAGATGTTTCTTAGAAACCAATGAAAAAAATCAATCAGGGATCATTTATTCAGCCTCTACCATATTGCCACGTGGCCAGTCCTCTGATAGGCGCGGCCAGTTGTAGGTATCTCGTCCTGAGACTTAGAGCTGTTCTCTTAATTCCCACATGCCGTCTTTTCTGCTTCCTTCTGATGACAGCAGATTTGTAGCATCAAAGTTTTCCTAGTTTTCCCAGGTGATTCTATTTAAATTTCTCATAAATCATACCAGGGGGTAGTGTGTGTGTGATTTTTGTGTGTGTGTACATATATATATACTATTTTTATTATGAAACTTTTCAAATGGAGATGTACAGAGATAATGAACCTTTATATGCCCATTACCCAGCTTCAACAGTTTTAAAAATTCCACCATTCTTATTTATTCACCATTCTTATTTATTCCCCAACTTATTTTTTTTCTGAATTAAAATTATATCCCAGTCTACATATTTCACCCCTAAATGCTCCAGTATTTAGGGGATACATTTTATTTTTTACTTATTTACTTATTTATTTTGAAGATTTTTTAAATTTATTCATTTGAGAGAGTGAGAGCATGAGAGAGCACAAGCAGGGGGGAGGAGCAGAGGCAGAGGGAGAAGCATACTTCCCGCTGAGCAAGTAGCCCGACACAGGACTTGATCCCAGGACCCTGGGATCATGACTGAGCTGAAGGCAGACACTTAACCGACTGAGCCACCCAGGTGCTCTATTTTTTATTTTTTCAAATTTTATTTATTTATTTATCTGACTGAGAGAGACACAGAGAGGGAACACAAGCAGGGGGAGTGGGAGAGGGAGAAGCAGGCTTCCCACAGAGCAGGGAGCCCGATGTGGGGCTAGATCCTAGGACCCTGGGATCATGACCTGAGCTGAAGGCAGATGCTTAATGAGCGAGCCACCCAGGCACCCCTTTAATATATATATATATATATTTTTTTTTTTTTTTAAAGATTTTATTTATTTATTTGAGACAGAGAGAATGAGAGAGAGAGAGCACATGAGAGGGGGGAGGGTCAGAGGCAGAAGCAGGCTCCCTGCCGAGCAGGGAGCCCGATGCGGGACTCGATCCAGGGACTCCAGGGTCATGACCTGAGCCGAAGGCAGTCGCTTAACCAACTGAGCCACCCAGGTGCCCCCCCTTTAATATATTTTTAAAGACTTATTTATTGGAGAGAGCATGCGTGTGCATGTGACCAGGGGAAGGGGCAGAGGGAGAGGGAGAGAGAATCCTTAGGCAATCTCCCTGCTGAGCGGGAAGCCCAAGATGGGGCTTGATCCCAGGACCCTAAGTTCATGACCTGAGCCAAAATCAAGAGTTGGATGTTTAACTGAGTAAACCACCCAGGTGCCCCTGGGGGACACTTTTTTTTTTTTTAAAGATTTTATTTATTTATTTGAGAGAAAGAGAATGAGAGCGAGCGAGTACATGAGACAGGGGAGGGTCAGAGGGAGAAGCAGACTCCCTGCCGAGCAGTCCCTTAACCAACTGAGCCACCCAGGCGCCCTGGGGGACACATTTTAAAGAGGGGTTGAGGAAGGCTTATAGTTCAGATTGGCCAAGTCCAGGGACACCATTCATGTTGTGGTCAGTGTAAACAGAGTAGAAAATTGAAATGTAAGTAGTATCTTTTGGAATCGGACAACACAGAGCACTGTGAAGGTGAACATGCTCTCTTTCCTTAGGACTCTGTACTGAGGAGGTGTTTTCTTGCTGAGAAGCCTTTTCAGATGCTTTATACACAGTGCCATGAGGAACCTGACCTTACGTAATCCTTAGTATTTCAAATCATATGTGAGAACCAGGATTTTTAAAAATAGAGTTCTCTGATCTTTTTTTTTTTTTTTTCCTTGAAGAAGAAACGTTTTCTATTCCTTTCTTTGGGAAGAGAAATGTTTTTTTACTTCTCTGTACCAGGTCTAAATAACTCTTCGCTAATTAGAATGAGTAGGGGAAGTAGAGTGGCCTTTCAATTTGCAGTTTAGCACTTTGGTTTTTTAAGGCTCAAAGGCAGTCATGTCTGCTATTGATTTTGACAACTTCCCTTTCGGAAGACATATGTTCCTTCTCTGTAAATAGAATTGATCATTTTACCTACTTCTATTTGGTCTCGGCCTTTTTTTTTTTTTTTAACCATCATCTGCAAGTTTGTTTTAACTGAGAATTTGCTTATACTTTTTTTTTTAAATGTTTTATTTATTTATTCATGAGAGTCGGAGAGAGAGAGAGGCAGAGGCAGAGGGAGAAGCAGGCTCCCCGCCTAGCAGGGAGCCTGATGCGGGACTCGATCCCAGGACCCTAGGATCATGACCTGAGCCGAAGGCAGACGCTCAACCATCTGAGCCACCCAGGCGCCCCAAAATTTGCTTATACTTTTAATTATTTATTTAACTATCTTCGATAACAGTAAAACAGTATTTATTTAACTATCTTTTGATAAAAGTAAAACTATCTTTGATAACAGCTCTATGCTAGTGGAATAGAGCTTGGACTCTGGAGTCAGCCTGGATTCTGCTCGGGGCTTCTTGGGCAGGTAGCTCTGTTACTCTGGACATGGACTTCCAACACTTTTGGCTCTACCTTCTCATCTGTGAAAGGGAGTCAGTGATCATGGGGAGAGCTGAAAGGTGTCGTACTACAGAGAAGAGCTTAGCACCATAGCCAGCTCACTACGAACCTGGAAAGTCACCCAGGGTCAAGACCATTTTCATTATTATCATCTGTCATTACCAAAGTCCAGGTGGCAGTCCAGATTGGAAATTTTCTGTGTATCCAATCTCTTTTTTAGTGTTTGTCACACAGTATTAACGTACTCTGTTATTTGTGTGTCTCTGCCTCTACACTGCAAGCTCTCTGCGGACCGAGACTGTGTCCCGCTGACTCTTTATTCCTAGTGCCCAGGATGGTGCTTGCCAGAAAACCCACACTCCGCACAGATCCGTTCAACAAGCGGGGAGGTGTTTCTCCACCTTTTTAAACTTGCGTTCTTTTTTGCTAAACATACAATTTATACCTGTGTTTAGTGTGATTTGAAATTCAAAATAAGATGTGTTATCTAAGAAAACCCCGAAGTTTTGAGATAAAGGATCACTTTCTTCTCAAAGTCCTCGGGTGGCTTGAGAGGCGTGATGCGCAGTCTGTGGGTCCCGCCCCACTCTGCCCCTTGAAGAGTCAGCCAGTGGGTGAGTTTCCTTTGGGTGAGTTTCCCGAAGGAAACCACTTGAGTTTTAATGTCAGTTAGGGCACTAACCACGTATGTGATTTTAGGACTTAGTTTCCTCAACTCTAAAATGATGAGGGTTGGATTAAAGACCTTTAGGATACCTCCTATCTTGAATTTCTACTTTACTAATCATACTTCATAGTTGAGTGCTTACTGTGCCAGATACCCCAGTCAACACCCCGCATGGATTCTCTCTTAAGCCTGAAAAATACTACATGGCTCCTCTGTATTTATTCTGCTCCTTTTCCTAATGAGAGCAAGTGGAGTGGCTGCATGTGGGGGGATTATGAAGAAAGTCACCAGGTGCCATAAATGAGGGGAGAAGCACCTCGAGGCTTGTCATGGAGGTCAGTGACGCAGAGGTGAACGCAGATCTGCCTCATATGGACAGACTTGTACGGTCACAGTGACAAAGGCTGGTACAACAGGAGGCTGGCAATGTGCGATGTCGCACCCCGCAAGATTGCCAAGCACATCATCTGAACGGTGGTGCCAAGGGAGTCTAGAAGGAACCGTGACACAGTTTGAGAAAAAAACTTGTAGCTTCTAGAGTTGTTGTGGTTCCAAGGAAATCTACTCATACAAGAGGAGAAAAGTATTTCCCCAAGAATCCTCAAAAAAAATATTTTTTAAGACCAGTATCTTTAATGAGTTCTACTCTCAATTAATAAAGCCCTTAAAAGTATGTAGTAATCCTCTTCATCATTTCCCCATTAAATCTGTTAGTGAATTAATGCTGGCAACCAATAGGAGGTGGATAATTAATTAGAAAAGTGTGTTTTAATCATGTCTTTAAAGCTTCCTTCTGTTTTAGTTTATACTCATATATGTTTTTCTGCTTTCTCATGACTTTCTAGTTACAGTAGTTTTCCAGGCCGACATTGTTTTCCTTTGTGTGTTATGTGTGTGTTAGACAGGGAGAGAGAGAGATGGACTGACATCCTCTGTTCAATGGGTTAAATAAGTTTCTTCTGTGGGCCTGCCTTGGAACCTCCTTCTTATTTATAATATTTCTATGGAAAAATGTATTCAAAAGGTTAAGTAACTTTCCCACATTGGAGATGCCCGTTATTCTATAATGACTAGCTTACAAAGTAATTTTAATCACAGGTTAAGATCCTTATTTATATTTTAAATTGTGTACAATGGTTTGAAAATTTTTTCGTAAATTATTCATGCCATCAAAGGGGAAAGGAAATTGTGAGTTCATGTCTGTGTGCCCATGTATGCATAATCTTAGGGATAGTTTGGATTGAGTTTAAAACCAGAAATCCTAATCATGTTTGCCTGAATTTTGTGATATGAATGGATAAATTAGTTCTCTCATTTAATGGTGGATTGCCTCATTGGAACATTAGAAAATTCTGTGTCACCTCAGCCAGAATGTTTTATAGATGGATGACTGCAAATGAAGAATTAGAAGATCATTTGATTTGAGCCATCATGCTTTCAGAATAAACAGATTTGGGTGTACCTGGTTTTCAGTCAATACTATTATTTGGTACTTTTTGTTGCTTTGTGAGAAACAGTTTTAGGTATTTGGGAAAACAAATAACTAATGTTCTCGCAGGACTATTCTGAAATCCAGATTTATTACTCCTTTTCCCCATTGTGCCTTGAGTTATGGAAAAAGCTGTAATCCTTGAGCTGCATAACCCCACAGTGCTTCCATGTAGCTAGGAGACGGGGAATGTCAGGGCACTGAGTGTGCCTTTATGAGGTTTCGTTTTATTTTTCCAGCTCTTCTGGGGCTTGTGATATGGGACCCCCTCTAAGGTGTTCACAGAATTCTAAGCTCTGGAAGTTAGATTCCTTACCTTTTATCTGGAGATGCTCTGTGTGATCCATGAGCACTCTGTAGCCTCAGTGGTCTCATCTTGATGTCTGTGAGTGGGTACCCGTTTCTAACAGTGCTCTTACTTTTTATAGGTATGCCTTACATTTTCTTGTACAAAGTGGAATTTCCTACTGTATCATGATCATAATAGGAGTGGAGAACATGCACAAGTAAGTGTTCCTCTTTATTCCCATATCAATATGGATTTCCCTATAATAGAATTAGGTCAAAATATAATTCTGTTACATTAAAAATTATTCTAAATTGTGATAATGTTCTCAAGAAGAGCTGTCATAAATTACTTAAAGCAGGCTTTCTCAGCCTCAGCACTGTTGACATCTTGGGCTGGATCATTCTTTGATGTGGGGGCTGTCCTGTGCACCGTAGGATGGTGAGTGGCGTCCCTGGCCTCCACCCACTAGGTGCGAGTAGCGCCTCCTCCCCCCGCCCCCTCTGAGCTGTGACAACCGTGAACGTTTCCAGATATAGTCAAATGTTTCTTGGGGGACAAAACAGCAGACATGTCGTGTCTGTTGTGTTTTTGGAATACAGTGCAGTATCTACGAGTTCTCATGAGGCGTCTGTTGAATGAATGAATGAGCAAATGGATGAATGATACTATGACTCCTGCATGACAGCAAGCCCTTTCCCCGTCGTCTCCTGAAGCTCTTGCTTCAGGGCCCCAGGCCCTGCCTCCTTTAGAGCCCCTGAGCTGCGTCTCAGGGCTGCCGTTATCGTAGCCCCGTGTCCTCGTCTATCTGGGGCAGAGTCCCTGACCTAGTTCTCGAACCTGCACATCTGTGCTGGGCTTTACCTCGATCTCGGTCCCCAGGGAGAGTGGAATGGGGGGGCAGAAAGGATGGGAGTGGGAGGATGGGTCTCCTGCAGAAGAGGAAGAGGAGTAGAAATGTGTTTTGGGCATCCTCCTGTAATCAGGAAGGCCTTTTCCCTGGAGAAGGCAGAACAGTGGGGCTGGGCTCTGTGCTGCTCAGATGTGCAAAACAAGCCTTTGTGGACGGGCGTGGGAACCTCAGCGCCCTTCATGTCAGCTTTTTGTTTTCTGACTTTTCTATGGGAAAACTTGTTTTGAGTTCTAAAAATTCTCAGACTTCTGGAACACAGCACAAAGGAACTGCCATTATCTAAATACAAACAGCAGAAATGTGGGATGGTTAAAACAGAAAGAGTAGAAAATCTCCTTAGCCTAAAGAAGTTAAGCTGAACTATTTGCATTATAAGTTGGCAAGTAATTTTCAACAAAACAGATGACCTCAATAAAAAATGTAAAAGGTGTAGGTATATACAGTAAAATCATACTTGTTCAACAGGCTGCCAGGCTGTGGATGGGGTTATATTGTCAGAGAGGTAGGAATTAGTTTTAAACTTACCGTTCTATCACCTTGCCTCCCCACCAGTTTGAACAAACATTTCTTGTGTGCCACAATGTTTCCAGAAACTTAAAGATAATGGAGATGTGGTCCTCACCCTCTGAAATGCACTGTTGGGTTGGAGATACTAAGACAGTCAGTCATGCAACAGATATTTGTTAGCTGATACTGGGATCCAGTGATGGGTATGAGGACGTGCTCTGTCTTACTGTCGAACTACCAGTCACACCACGATGAGTGTTAGAAAAGAAGAATATACTCAGGGCTGGGGAAGCATGAAGGAGGGAGCGTCTAGCTGGGAATGCTAATCAACTTCATGAGGACCGGCTGTATGTGTATCAGCCATTTACTATATGTCCAGTAGAATAAAACAGTTGGGAACAGAGTACGGATATTTGGTGTTAAGGAGAAATTACGCTAACGTATGTTTTTAAGAATTGAGAAATATTAACACCTACTTTCCTCAGATGTCTCCTTTGTTTTTTTTTTTAAAGATTTTTATTTAGGGCGCCTGGGTGGCTCAGTTGGTTAAGCGACTGCCTTCGGCTCAGGTCATGATCCTGGAGTCCCGGGATCGAGTCCCTCATCGGGCTCCCTGCTCTGCGGGGAGTGTGCTTCTCCCTCTGACCCTCCCCACTCTCATGTGCTCTCTCTCTCATTCTCTCTGTCTCAAATAAATAAATAAAATCTTTAAAAAAAAAAAAAGATTTTTATTTATTTGACAGAGACACAGCGAGAGAGGGAACACAAGCAGGGGGAGTGGGAGAGGGAGAGAAGCAGGCTTCCCGCCGAGCAGGGAGCCCGATGCGGAGCTCGATCGCAGGACCCTGGGACCATGACCTGAGCCGAAGGCAGACGCTTAACGACTGAGTCACCCAGGCGCCCCTCAGATGCCTCCTTTATTGATGATGAAATTAACAGCTGGCTAGGTCATGGGAGAAGATGGAATGCAAACTCTGCCTTCCACCCAGGTGGCCTTAGTGGTTGGCTGGATGAGTAGAGGTTTGGAGTCCTGGATATATGGGTTTGAATTCAGACTCTGCTGAATTTTCGTTAGCTTTGGGACCTTGGCCAAGTCACTTAACCTTTTTGGCTCTAAATTGGATTAAACCGGTGACTGTGCTAAGGAGCATGTGCCCACCCGCTTCATACTTGGGGCGTCCAGCTGTGCTTGTGCTTGCATACAGTGTTCAGCTAGACGAAGAGGTGTTCAAATTCTGCATGAGATGCGCTCAGAGGTCATTCTTAGTTACACGTATTTTGCTGTTTTTCCTCCTGATGTCATGTTAGAGCTGGGCCATCACCCTGGCCACTGTGCACCGTAACTCATCTTTTCTTCTTCCCAGGACACGAACTCCTTGGCAGGGATCTTTTACTTATTTTTTAATCCCATGGTTGAGCATATAGATGGTAGAAGCTCTCAGTAGGTGAGGTTATCTTTTCTGTTCTGAATGAGTATTTTGCGGCTTTTGCTTTTGAGTCTTTTTTTTTTCATGTTTTTGGTTTGGTATTTCCAAATCCTACATTCATTCCTGCGATAGGCCTTGAACGTCATGCTTGATGGGATAACTTGCAGTTCTGTTTGTGTTTCCGGCTCACTTCCTCCTTGTTCTTCCCGGTAGAGCCGCAGTCCTGGGTGTTGGGGTGGGGCTGGGGCAAGAAGAGGCAGCTGTAGCTGACCTGGCCTCGATGTCCATCCAGGAAGACCCCGAGGAGCAGGTAGTCCAGGGTCACGTCCACTTATTAACTGCTAGCTCTAACGAGACTCCTACAATATGGATTCCTAGACGAAAATGGCATTAGGAACTGCCCGAACTCTACTAGGAAGGAATGATGATCTCGGAAATGCCATCTGGCAGGCAGAAGCCTCAAGTCACTTGAAAATTTGTCCTCATGAAGTTAATTAGCAGCGGGTAGCGGCTCAGCGGGAACTCTGTGGGGAAAATATTAACTTCACTGAGAACAATCTCATGCTCCCACGAGAGGGAATAAAATGTGGCAGGAAGGAAACTGAACTCTTAGATTTTTTTCTCTTATGCTCTCTGTGGACCGTGTTTGAAAGCCCTGTGGTGGTTGGGGATAAAGTTACGGGCCCTTTTGGTATGGTTGTGCCAGAAGTCGAATTTCAGTTGGAAAACCGTAATTCTAAAATCGATTTTTTATGTGATCTTATTTTGATAATAGTTAATCCTTCTGTAATTATGGTGTATCAGTCGCTATGCAAAGCCCATGCATTGGCACTTAATCCTAGCAATAGCCTTTGGAGGTGGCGTGGGAGACCTACCCACAGGGAAACATGGCTTAGTAAGTGATGGATCTAGGATTGGAACTAGGTGTGTCTGCCTTTACCCAGGGCCCAGGCTTTTTACCTCTGCAGATTACTTCTCAGCATTAAGCATGATGATGATGAGAATGAGTCATTAAAAAAGAAATGCCCTAGGGGCGCCTGGGTGGCTCAGTTGGTTGAGCGACTGCCTTTGGCTCAGGTCATGATCCTGGAGTCCCTGGATCGAGTCCCGCATCGGGCTCCCTGCTTGGCGGGGGGTCTGCTTCTCCCTCTGACCCTCCCCCCTCTCATGTGCTCTCTCTCATTCTCTCTCTCTCAAATAAATAAATAAAATCTTTAAAAAAAAAAAAAAAAAAAAGAAATGCCCTAAATTGATTGAGAAAAAAGGAATGAGAGCCAACAGGGTCCCCAACAAAGGCAGAGGTTTGTATGTGTCTGTTGCTCTTCCTTAGAACAAAGATGCAGATACCTTTTTCCAAAAAAATGCAGTGTCCTTGTAGCATATTGTGCTTAGGATCTAAGGTTTTTGAATATTCTCAATTCTCATAGGGAGGAAAACCTGTTACTTGGCGATAGGATGTTTAGGTTCCGTTGGATTTCTGAAAAATCTTGAGGACATAGCATCATTCCATAAAACCCTGTACTCGGGGAAGGGCATGATTCAGTTTCCTTTATGCCATTCAGTCAATTATAGTGTCTCTTTTGGAGGTATTTGAATTCTAAATTTTATTTCTAATTGTATACTGGATCTCTCTGTTAAGGAGGGTTTGGTTATCCTTGAGCAAGTTTTTTTGTTTTTTTTTTCCCCCCTTAGGATTAAGCGAGGGTTTTTATAGGGGGATTATATTAATGTAGGGATGCTAATAAGACTGACACATCATGCCTTGGTAAATAAAGCTGTTACTTTGGGTGATGCTGTTCATCTGAATGTGTTAGAGTACAGAGAAGTTTGCAAGGATTACTTGTGTAATGAGGTTCTGCCACAGCAGGTCTGTCTAAAAATGTCAAGATTAATAACTAATACCCCAAATTAATCACTTAAAAAACGAAAGAGTTTTGGTGATATTATCCAATTAAATGATATATCCTTCTTGTTTTGAAGATAACAATTCATATATTATCAAAATTTAACTGGATAGTTGTGATAATTAAAAAGAAGAGTAGTTTTCATTGGAAAACTGTAAGGACTCATTTTCTGGTTTTAGATACTTCTGGAAACTAATTTTACTTTTACACTAAGACCTTCATCCTTGCCAGAATGTTGAAAGAAAAATTAAAAAACTCACATAACCATCTGTTAGGATGATAAGCAAAATCAGTCAGTAATATGTCATAACACATGCCACTTACATAAAATATGTGGTCGTTGTCGAAGTTTTGTGAGAATAAAAACTTCGTGATGTTTTCTTCTTCTCCTTAACTTTTGAGTAAGAAGTGAGGAAATGGTTTTGGAAAATTAGGGCTTGCTAATGGATAGAAGTACCTGTGGTGTATC